CGCTGATTATTTTCAGGGTCAACCCTTCCAATTCCAAAGGCCCTATGGCTCCTACATCATGGAGAACGTTCTGTTCAAGATTTCATTCCCTGCTGAATTCCACGCTCAAACGGCCGTGGAGGCCGCTCACGTCGTTCACAACAAGCTCAAGGAATTGGGCAAGACTTCAGACGACATCAAGAGTGTCAGGATCCGCACCCAAGAAGCTGCCATCAGGATCATCGACAAGCAAGGTCCCCTGGACAACTTCGCTGACAGAGAGTGAGTGGACCTCTTTCGCCCCTCCCCCCGGTTGTTGTATTTGTGTGCTGAATATTTTTGATAGCCATGCCATCAACTACATGGTTGCCTATCCTTTGATTTTCGGTGAACTGACCTCTGAAAGCTAGTAAGTGAATACAATTGGCCCCGAGCGATGCCAGGACTCCACAATTAACTACATTTTTTTAGCACTGACGCTTCTGCTTCTGATCCAAGAATCGATGCTCTTCGTGCTAAAATCTACTGTGTTGAGGAGAAACGCTTCAGTGTCGACTACCACGATCCTGAGAAGCGCTCCATCGGTAACGCCCTCTTGGTTGAACTCAATGACGGAACTGTCCTCGATGAAGTCGAGATTGAGTACCCTGTTGGACACAAAAGACGCAGGACCGAGGGCACTCCTTTGCTGATCAACAAATTCAAGAGGTACATCCTAACTAGTTTTTTCTTAATGGCTTCTGACCCCGCACGCAGGCATATTTCATATCACTATGATGAGGCTCACCAGAAGAAGTGCGTTGCTTCTTCAATCTCTTCTGTCCGTTTTGCTTACAGTCTTTATGTCTAGGATCCTTGATACTGTATCTGATGCCGCTTCTTTGTCCAAACTTCCAGTAGACAAGTTCACAGACCTGTTCGTCAAGGCTTAGATTCTGTAGCTCTTCGACAATTACATCCAAAAGAAATCGAACGCGAAAAGTTCTTTCTAATGTCTTATGTTTGCGACTGAGTGTATCACTTATTGCGGAGACGGGTAAACCATACAAATTACCACCGGACAAGGAATACATAACGCTGCGGATTGGAATAGGGGATTATTTATAAGTGGATATGATAAACGAAGGATTGCAATTTCTGTGATATCCTGTTCAAGCTACTTCGGAGACGTTTCTGGTTTTCATTGATCTTGCTCCCATAGTGGCTGCACTTGTTGCGTCGCGGTGTGTTTGGTTATTAGACAGTCCAGCTGCAGAATAAACGCTTCTCCTGGGTAATTTAACGACCGCGTTTGACTCCCTATCATCTGGTATCACTTCGACGCTGATGGTGTTTTGCGCCGTTTCGATATCCAAGTCGGCTTTGGCGTTGCTGACAACTTCTTTGGTGCGAGCCATGACCTCGTAGTCCGACTGCTTGGACTTGGAGTAGCATTCACCTCTTTGCAGCAAGGATGCTGGACCGGCACCGACATCTTCAGTGACGACAGAAAGCCTGCGCTGAATTAGCCGAGCAAGAGGGACTGAACGAGGTTGATATGAGAACTTGTAACTTTGGTCTGAGAGCCTAGGGGACGTGTAGGTCTCCCTGTAGTCGACTGATCTTTTGTCGCACCTTTCATTCAGGCTATTCGAGAAGTATGAATCCACAGGTACTACCAAATCATTAGGGTAGTTCACGGGAATACCGTCGGGATCTTGATTTCCCACTTGCTGTATCATTGCCAATAGCGGGCTCGAATGTCCCAGAGGAGAAAAAACCTTAGGACCATAAGATCGAGGACCAGTCAAGGCGTCGTCCTTTGAATGTACGTGTCTCAAAATTTCGACCTCAACAGAATTACCAGGAAACACGGGTGACCAAGCAGGAGAACAAGTACTAGGAGAAGCAGAGTGGTCTCCTTGAAGGCGGATCGTCTGAGAAAAGGCGGTATTACGAGAATCGAATTGGTTGTGCTCTTCAGGTGGTCGGCTATATGCGCTTTTTCGATGTCCATCCAATGGGAGAGATCCAGGAATAAACAATGGCGCAGATTTATTGAGCTGATGATGACGACTGATGCCATAGCCTTCAAGGTTATTAGTAAATCCCTTTTCAGAAGGTTGGGAGACATAGTGCTCAAAGGTCGATTTCGTCTTGGAGCTGTCCCGCTGCCAAACAACAGGGAGATCTACGTCAATGACAGCAGGAATTGGTGGCGAAGGTAAGTTGTTCCTGCAAACTGTATCCGAGACGTACACCCCAGCATAAGTCGTTGCTAGATAGCCTGAGTCATCAACGCAAGCATGGAAAGTAGACGGCTTGGACAAATCTATAATAGCATCTCCGCGGATTGTCGTAGCTTTTGCACTCTGTGCGTGTTCGAGATGGGTATTGGTTGCAGATGAATGCGTACAGTTGCTAGCAGGGCCTGAGGACTGAAGAGATTGATTTGATGGCGCAACGGCTCGGTTCGTAACGGAACTGCGCGAGTGTGTGCTGTCGATCCCAAGGCCCCAGATTTTGTGAGGGAGGTCGTCGCCTTCAACAAGCGTCCCTTCAGCACCTCTAAAACATTTATAAGCGAAGTACATAACGTATTGATCTTTTCTTACGAAGGACATCTAGCATATGGAAGGGAAAGAGGGCCGTGCAGGGCAGGAATCGGTCGCGGAGGTGAACTTGCCCATGTAATCCAGCCTGAGCTATAAATTTGAAAATGATTGGAGGTACCAGCAAGACCAGACTCACCATCATCATCGGTAGACGAACGTCGAAGGAATGAGTTAGAAACCTGACTCAAGTCATTTCCAACAATCATGACTGATTCTGGAGAAGAAGGTGGAGAAGGTGTTCGAGGTAAATCCGATGGGTATCTGCGTATATGGTTCATTTCTTCATTCCACGCAGAATCATAACCTGCATGTAGAAATGTCAAATATTTTTGGGGCAAGATTGGGCTGTAAGGTACCATCTCTCGTAAATTCTGGCATTGAAACGATTCTCATCTGTCTTTCCATCATGACTTCGGTTTGATCATGAGGGGCATTGGTAGGAAGGGATACCACACGGTTTGAGTGCGTAATATGGTCTATTGGTCGATTGTAACCAATCAAACTTGGTTTCGCCTTCTGGCGATATGGATCTAGCTCTGGGATATCCGGAGTATGGGTGTACTGAGTATATGCGCTTTCACAAGCAAGAGTGGAGGGATCCAATTGACCACAGAAGAATTCAGAGGGTGAGTCTAGACCGGCTGCTGCAGGCTCGCCATTCGAGACAGAATATAACTGATTAGACCGAGCAGTGCAAGAGCAGGCGAATTGCGGCGCGAAAGTGAGGTCCGTTTGAATGCCGCGAGAGGCGTAGAGCTTGAGAGGAGGCTGAGACAACATGACGAAAACAACGCTATTGACGAGGAAAATACACGACAGAGAGAGCGATACAAAGGAAAACGTTATAGAGAGGCCAGAAAAGACAGCATTTTAGCTTGTCGCGGAGGAATCATGGACGTAGTAAACAAAGAAGCAAGGCTTAGTCAGAACAGACGAAAATTACAACTCACTACATACACTATGACGATTTATTGAAGAAACTGGAAAGCTTGGCCATACCAGCCGTACTAGCTTTTTTCAGTTTTTCAACTCCTTGCGAGGGCTTCGCCGGCTTCCTCTTCTTATTATCAACTGATCCTGACTTGTTTGGTGCCTCCTTTGCTACCTTCTTTGGCGGCTTGGATGAATCAGCCGTGGCTTTTGCAACCGCTTCTTCTGCATTTGCATTAAGATATGCTTGGAGCTTTGTGAAGCTAGGATTAGGCTATCAGCAGCGTATGCCAACTGTTACATCGAACGACTTACTCATACAAGTTTATCAGCTCATCCCGCATATTAGATGACAGATATTGAGAGACGAGGTCGCAGCAAGCTCGTATGCGACCAACTAAAATCTCCGTTAGAAAGTTACTTGAAATAATATCAAAATCGCACGTTGCAATAGGTCCTCACGACCGTCCTCCATCAGGCCATCTTTGGCCAGGCTTCTAATCGTCGTGCGCGAAGCATCAAAGGCATTGGATTTTTCAAGACGCGCGACTTTAGCGCGCATATAGTCGCGAAATTTCAAATGAGAGAATCGATAAACAGTAATCTCAGGCGAAATTTCTAGAGTAAATGAGTCCCTTGTACGGCCTTTTAGCAGGTGTCGACGGACCTTTCACATCACAGAGATGCGTCAAAGACTCCCTAGTGCATCGCAATGAACAGAAATCGAGGGCGCTTTGAACTTCTACAACTAATGAATCTGAAGAATCGTTTGAAGATGCAAGCTTTCTTGCACATTCGTCCAGAAGGTCGTCTGCAGTCCTAAATTGCGCAGTAGATCCGTCTGTCTAGAAGAAGTATAAGAAGCGGAAGCGAGCTCCATTGGACATACACACTGGCTGAGTGGCCTGTAGAATAGGAAGCAGGAGAAAAACCGGATCGATTGGGGTCATTGTTAAGAGCTTTCCATCTGAAATCGAATAACCAGCCGGAAATTGCATAAAACAGATTCGAATGCGTACCAGCTACAACTTCCTCGCCTAATATCCACGAACGTTCATCCGGAGGGCAGACTGCCTGGATTTCCAATAACGCTGAGGATTTTTGTGGATTTGACGGAGGTAGCCACTCCAAAGGTAAGAACAAGGAAGGTAATCCTTATTTCACGTATGAGCACAAATTTGGTAATCCATAGACCAAATTCCATTCACCAGTGCGGGGATGTGGGAGACGGAGGATTCGCAGAGGTTTTTCAAGATTGCCGTCAGAATCCAACGCCTGGGTGAGATATTGGACGACATCTACACTGAAATTTAGTCATAGTTCGTCGCAGAAGAAGAATATATACCAACCTAAGGGCAAAATGGAAAAGTGCAGATTCATCTTTAAGGAAGAATCCTGAAGCGAGCAACGTTGTATGTAGTTGTAACTTGTGGGAAGACTGACGCGACGCGTTGTTGACACCTATTTGGTGAGCTCAAACGATTCTAAGAATCCATGTGTCCCATGGCTTAGTTGGTCACGGCGTCCGACTGTTATTAGCACTGGCATCGGAAGATCGAGAGTTCGAGTCTCTCTGGGACAGTTCAGTATAAAATCTGAATGTTAAGTTTTTGTCAATTCAAGCCAGGTACTGTCTACTGTATACAATTAACCCATGTACTACTACCAAACAATGACCCCTTTTATTTCTCAAATATTTTCTTCTTCCTCAGACAGATAATCAAGGTCGGAATGGCCAAAATGTAGGTCTATTAGATCTCCGTCGTCATTTCCGGAGTGACCAGCTTTCCCTTGTTGTTCCCTCCATATGCCTGTTAAAAATGACGGAGTGCTCGCGAGTTCAACATTCTTGTCATCTTTGATTCTAATAAATCTAGGGAACCGAAGACTGAGGCCTCGAGACGATTCCACGATCCCCTTGGCTGCTATGGATACTGGACTTTCGGTAACACTATTCAAGAGTCAAAACAATGAGTAAATGGGAGGGAAGACTGAAATAAAGCCACGCTGACTCTGCTCCTCTAATTTCCCAAACTTCGTGTGGTCTGAAATAAACGTCTGGTCTAAAACCTACAGTTTGTGAGATACGAGCATGTACGACTCTGGTTGACTTACCTCCGAAATCACACTCCCACATTGGCTGAGCAGAGCAATTTTCAGTTTGACCGGAATAGTGTTCCTTCATCGACTGATGATATAGAATAAAAAAATCAGGAGAGCTGTCATAAAATCAAATATAACAGACTAACTGTGTAAAAGGCATCCGTAAAGCCTAAAGAAAGGTTATTGATCGATAGGTCGTATTTAGAGGATTTATACTAACCTGACATGCATTTGCACACAGCTACTGGACGGCCTGTTTCAGGATTCCAGAGTGCCAAAAGGACAGGGCTCCACCACGGCGCTTTCCGACCATTTCCGTACCACGCACCGACAGGGATAAGGTCCATTGAATCACCCATTCCTTCCATGTAATCTTTCTTAAGCTTCAGCCAGCCCGATGTCCGTACATCTGGTTCATAGGTGCAAGGTAGTGACTTGAGACGACCTTGTTTCTCCCCGTTCAATTCTACACCGTCCAGTTTATCAAGAAGCTTAGTGATAGATTAGAACATAGTAATTTGGCAATTTTACAATGCTAATTGCGAAAATAGCCTACCTTGATCATGAGGCCTTCGCATCTGTTTTCCACTGCACTTAACATGAAGTCTTCGATACAGGCTTTGCCTTCGTTACTTTCGCAGCTCTTGACCAAGTCGAATTGCGCTACTGCTACTGACGCAGACTGTTCCTGACTTCTCCGAATCGGAAAACATTGTCGAAGTAAGTCGCGACGATCACGGAAACTGCGACTAAGTAATGGCTGCCAACTATGCTCAATAAAGCCAATAAAGTAGGTATGGCGTCATAGATGTCTCTCACCTCTCCGTTCAAATACATAAGGTCAAAGGCAAAGACGCATACAGCGATTCGAATATCCTTCAGGTTGACATCCTTTCGTGCTCGACCAGAGAGTTCCTGGAATGACTTTATGGCACCAGAAAAGGTGTCAACAGCAACGACCTCAGCATCCATAATAAAGGAGCTTAGAGAAGCTGACTCCTTGAACATGCAATCCACTAAGCCTATGATATCGGGATACTAAAAACAGGATCTTGAATTATGAAGGTCAAAACGTGGTATTTGCTACCAACCTTCGACGTCATGTCTTCTAGATGACGTGAAAATATCTTTATATCACTTTTATTGTCAGCCAGACGCAAGGCATGTATCTGAGCTCTTTGTCCATCATACTTGAACTCCGCTGAGAAAGGAAGGTCACCAAGTCGACTATAAATTTCTTCTAAAGAACGCATGGGAGACCCAAGCATTGGATGCAGCGGGATTCCTGCTCAACGGAGGTAAATTGCATCTGAGAATACGAAAAAAAGATAGTACATACCAATAGTCAAAGGGACGCGATCAGCAAGGGAATCAAGACCATTTTCAAGCAAAGCTGGGATGATCTGGTCATAACTTGGGTGCTTGACGTAGACTTGTTTTACTAGACTTTCTGCCTCCTTGAATGAGGAGGCCAACTTCTCCTGTGCAGCAGTGGGCTTCTTCTTTCCTTTGGACGGAGAACGTTGCTCTTCCGGCTCCTCAACAGCGTCCTCCGACACATATGGGGAACCAGGTGCTAGCAAATCAGTTCCAGCTAAAGCACCCTTGAACTGAGGGTCCGTTAAGACAAAAGTTCTTGCTAATGCGCTGAGTAGTGAAGTCCGTACGGCACCAACCCGAAGGTTTTGACAGAGCATTCTGGTGATGTACCGAACTTCTTCACCCGACGCTGCTAACAAAAGCTTCTCAACGATCTTCTGTTTTTCCTTTGCAGCTCCTTGACCTTTGCATCGAGCAATTTTAAGCATAGACTCATAAACATAAGGTACTGTGAGAGGCGGGTGAGGAATAAGAGTTCGTATGTTAGATTTAGCAGCGTAGGCAACGTCGCCTGGGTCGCCCGTTGTGTTGTATAATTGCTTGAGAGCAGCCGCAGATAGTCCAGATATTTGCTGTATAGCGCGCGATAAGATGGACGAACCGAGTCCAAGTTCAATGGGAACAAACGAGGGGCCAAGACAGTTGGACAGGAGATACACAGCCGGTAACAGAGATAATGGGTGCTTCAAGGTGATAGTCCGAAGAAAATTGGTCAAGATGTTGATAATAGCTATACGGGATCGTGTCTGTGATAGAGCGATTAAAGCATGAGTGAGAAGGGCGTAGGGTGCTTCAAGCTGACGTGACGGTTGTAGATTTGGCTTATAAGCAATTGGGTCAACATCAAGAGGTAAGAACACTATGGGCACAGAGGAGGTAGAGACCTTTCCGAAGACACGACTGCTATTTAGCTCTTTGCTCTTTGCAGGAGCGGGTCTCGACAAATCACTGGCAGCAAGTGATTTAGGCAGTGGGGATGGAACGAGACCTTCAACGTCAAAAGAATCGACGTCAATGACCTCTGGTTTGTCGAAACCTAGAGACGTCAGCGGGGCTGAGCCATCAAATTTCGTCGAACTTCCTCGCACAAATTCTGGCTGAACAGGCCCCGATCGGTTGGTGGTTGACTTCGTTTTCGGAGATGAGAAGAAGTGGTCTAGTTGAGATTGATTTTGCTGCAATTTAGTACGCTTTTTCTTTGCTGGCGAGACATTAGACGAGTTTGGTGGACGTTTTGACATTGAGTAATTCAAAATTTCAAGCTTCGGGTGCTATTTGGTGCTTCTCTGAAGACTGAAGTTGCATTACTTCAAGACCGAGTCAGCGCACCTACTCTAATGCGAAGTTGTAGCCAAATTGCCCCAAATAAAGGCCCCTTTGCCGGTTCAAGTACTAAATTCTTGTTCCTCCTTCAAGTCTACTATATAATGGCCTCGTCATCTGGTGAGTAGTAGTTGCATTGCGTATATTCGCCATTCTTACTCATATTTAGCTATCGGAAAGCTATCCAGGGAAGAGTTTCGACGGCAAAAAGACCTCGATGCTGCTCGGAAAGCCGGTACAGCACCTGCTGCTTTAGATGAGGAGGGTCGCCCTATCAATCCCCACATTCCCCGTACGTCATCTATCTTTCCATTATTGAGTGATTTTAGTAACTATTCATAACCTACAGAATATATCTCTCAGGCACCGTGGTATCTCGATACTGGAGCGCCGTCTTTACAGCATCAACGTCGGCCTGAAAACGACCAGTTTCCAACAAACTTGACAATTGGTACGACAGGGGAGCAAAAGCTGGACCTGCAGCTAAAAAATATCGCAAAGGAGCCTGCGAGAATTGCGGTGCATTGACTCATAAGAAGCAGGACTGCTTGGAGCGACCTCGGAAAAAGGGAGCAAAGTATACGAACAAAGACATCCAGGCAGACGACGTAATTCAAGACGTTGCCGCAGGGTACGACGCCAAGCGCGACCGGTGGAATGGATATGATGCTGCAGAACACAAAAGAGTATATGAAGAATATGCCGCTCTCGAAGCAGCGAGACAAAAACTGAGGGAGGAGGAGATAGACAACCAGACAACAACCGACTTAGCAGCGGTTCGTAAGGTAGCAAAGGCTGGCAAATCGGACACGAAAACGGATGCTGATTTCGGATCAAGTGAAGACGAGGATGCAGATGAAGATAAATACGCAGATGCTGCCGATGCAGTGGGACAGAAGATGGATACCAAAACTCGCATCACTGTTCGTAATCTCCGTATCCGTGAAGATACCGCAAAATACTTGATCAATCTCGACCCAGAGAGTGCCTATTATGATCCAAAAACGCGTTCCATGCGAGATGCTCCGGTGAAGAACGTTCCACCTGAGGATGTGAGTTTTTATCTCTCTCTTACCTACATGTATGCCGACCCAAATAAAACAGGCGAAGTTCGCTGGCGACAACTTCTTGCGCTATTCTGGTGAGGCTCCTGAAGTGTCAGACCTCCAGTTGTTTGCTTGGCAGGCAGCAGCGCGCGGCAACGATGTCCACCTGAATGCCAACCCGACACAAGGAGAGTTATTGCACTACGAGTTCAAGCAAAAGAAAGAACAACTTAAAGACACGACAAAAAGCAGTATTTTGGCTAAATATGGAGGAGCAGAATATCTTGATTCGGCTCCCAGAGAGCTCCGTCAAGGACAAACAGAAAACTATGTCGAATATTCTCGTAGTGGACAAGTAATCAAAGGTCGTGAAAAGGCCAAAGCCAAGTCGAAGTACCCTGAAGACGGTAGTGTTTATCCACCTTCCTGCACACAGTATAAGTTGACTAACCATTTTGGACTCAGTTTATATCAACAATCACACCGCTGTCTGGGGTTCCTGGTACGATACGTCAACAGGGACTTGGGGTTATGCTTGTTGCCACTCCACTGTCCACCTTTCTTATTGCGCCGGCCTGGCCGGAATCGAAGCCACGACGGCTTCGAGTGCACAAGCTCTACTCGCGTCTTCAACCTCTGTTCCTGTCGAAAAGGCAGACAACACCAAAGAAGAGCCTCGGCCAGGAAAGGTAGAACAGAACTATTCAAAGAAACGAATAGGCGAGGGTGA